CACACACACACATTACGGTGGTGAAACGTGACGTCTAAAAGCTTTTCCATTTTTCCCATCATATATATATATATATATATATATATATATATATATATATATATATATTAATTCACACTATTCTAAATTTCTGCCAGGTAATATCTATTAATTCTGTTATATTATTCATCTATCTCCATTCCTTTCAATCAACCAATGTCGTTTAATATCTGCTTTATGTGTATACACACTTATCTTACCAGTGCCTCTACATAAGAAGTAAATTCATTTAATAGAGCAATATACATCGATTCCATTATATCTCAAATACATTATTAACCATGAATGCACTTATCCGACTTTTACTTCAGTGTGCAATTATTCACTATAATCGAACCACCTTCCTGTCCAAACGGAATCCCTTTGCCACATTCTATTATTAAATATCGCTAATCTACTGGAACAAAATACAATCAAGGATCACAATTGCTGCGCTTAAAATTTGTCATTATATCTGAATTCTGCAATTTCATGAAACATTGTGCCCATAACGATTGGTTGAAACATTTAAGTTAGTTGGACACTCCTGGAGCACTTACATTCCCTGACATCGGAAATCGCATCATCACAGTTAAACGGAGTGGTGGAATATCTCAGATGAATCATCAGGCATAAACCTCTCCTCTTAATTTCCGATAAGTGGTAGAGCCGTTAAAATGGTCATGGCTTGAAAGTGCTCTCCTCCCGAATAAACAAAGAGGATTTATATTAGTCACTATTCTAATAATGCCATAGCGTCAAATGGTACCACTGTTATTAATTTCCTTCACATTAGTCTATTTCGTGTTGATGAAAATATCATACAAATTTATATGACGATAAAATGCTATATTGTTTTAAATTTCTTAAGTTTAAAATTAGCAGATTTTTAAAAACCTGGGAACATTTCAGCTGGTCATTATCTAAAGAAGCAAGGAGGAACAAATGAAAAGATTTGAAATTGACAACTTTTTCAAATTCACTGAAACAGAAGTTAAACAATTCTATTTTCCCTTCTTTCTCTCTTTCTTTGTCTTTCTTTCTTCCTTTCATTTTCTCACTGATACGAAGTCGTGTGACTGATAAGTGTTTTTTTCTGTCTTTCCATCCGATTGAAACGGAATAGTCCATTATTTATAACGTACTGACAGGGAGTAACGTACTTATGTGCTAATTAAGTGAGGGACAAGAAAAAAATTATAATTAGATATTAAGTATAAACTAGAGTATAGAGATTTTAAGATTTATTAAAAATATCAAATACCAATATGAAACGTGTCTTTTTATACTTTTGTGTGCGGATTGTGAATTTCAAACATGTTCATATTAAAAGTGAAAATTTAGAAGAATGAGATGCATTTTAGTCATCTAGTGATCTTTTATTTCTGGAAAAGAAAAATCGCTGTCCACCCATAAAAAAAAAAGATGTGTGCAACTTATGGAGATGGTGCCATATTTAAGAGAATTGTTAGTAAATGGTTCACTAATTTCAGAAGAACAAGAACATTCCGTGATTCCTGCATTTTTAATGATGACAAACTAGAAACGTTCAATTAAAATAATCCATGTCGCACGATCACGTGAAAATCACAGAGCTATTCAACATATCTCATATGGGCGGTGTAAGGCACTTGAAAACTTTTGAATATGCGAATCGATATAATGGAAAACCTCTTTAATGGACCACATTTTCATCTGCGATTCTATCTTCAAACGCAACAAAAACGCTTCATTTTTAAAAGAACGGTCGTAGGGGCTGAATATATATATATATATATATATATATATATATATATATATATATATATGTGTGTGTGTGTGTGTGTATTTCAACCCCTACGATATATATATATATGTATGTATGTATTTCATATATATATATATATATATATATATATATATATATATATATATATATATATATATATATATATATATGTATGTATGTATGTATGTATGTATTTCATCCCCTACGATATATATATATATACATATATATATATATATGTATGTATTTCATCCCCTATGATATATATATATATATATATATATATATATATATATATATATATAATTATTTATTTAAAAATATGATTCCAAATCGCTACATAAGAGGTCTCATGTTTCAAAACTAGTAGTTTTGAAACATGAGACCTCTTATGTAAGTGATTTGGAATCATATTTTTAAATAAATAATTATATTTATGCTCTACTTTTTGTATCGAGCACTATTTTTTAAAAATAATAACTAAAATACTAAGGGACTTTGGATTATTTACCTAACCAGTTCCTTCCTATTTTCTATATATTTTCACATATATATATATATATATATATATATATATATATATATATATATATATATATATATATATATCTGTGCGTGTGTGTGTGTTGAAAGAAAGGTCCTGGGGAAAACAAAATAAGCCAATGTTAACCACTCCAAATGCTGGTATGCATTCGACAATATTATTATAAAAGT